AGGGACCACATCAGGATAATTCACACTGTGGCACGTTATGGATACTGGGGCTGAATGGGTAAGATGGAGCGTGGTCTCTCTGGGGGGTGATTCGGAAACATACCTGGTGAGGGGAAGGCACCTGATGAACTCAGCAAACACTGGGTGAGGACTGACCGACTAGGTACTTGGCCTGGAGGATGAGAAACAAAGAGCTTCTCCCAAGGACGTAGTTAAGTTACAGGAGACATGTTCCTATATTCGGTTTCTCTTGCTAATCTCTCGCAGGTGATGCCCCGAAGGACAGGAATACCCGCTTTGGGCATTTATCAGAGGCAGAATGGTGGTCTTAAGGACTGTGGATCCTGTCTAGGGTGGCAGTATTTTTGGCGATTATGTTCAAATTATGTATGTTTTTCTAGAATTCTAACAAATGCGGGATGGGTGCAAGAACTAGTACGTACCTAGATTGTGTTGCATTTTGGGAAAGATTATTTATTTGATGTGATGGTTTGTGTTCGTTTAACAAATATTGCTTCTCCTGAGTTATCTCATTTAGTTTTTACTGTGACCCTCTGATACAAATACAATTCCTCTCCCTGTCTTAGAGTTGAGGAAATTGAGACTCGAAGATGTTAGGTAATTTTCCCAAATCATCCTTGAATTAGATGATAGGACCAGATTTTAATCAACATGGTCTAACTCTAAAACTCACCTTCTTGACCACTGTGCTTTGTTGCCTTTCGTGCTTTTTCTGCTGCCAGTTCTTCTATATGTTTTCAATTTTTAAAAGGAAGGTGGTTTATTCTCTCCTGAAGGTGTTACACGTCAACCAAAGTAAGATAAATAATCTGTCTAAACATTGTAAGTACTATGATGAAAACCCAGCTGCTAAATGAGCAAGAGATGGAGTTTAAACGCTCGGTTGACAGGTCAAAACAGTGAACGGGGTGCCTTCTGTGCTGTTAGCAACAAGCCTTTTAACTCTAATAAATCTCAAGCTTATAACTTGAGCCTGATGAGGAAGAGCGTTCTCTTACTAAGGGATCATCCTGCAGGAACATAAACAAGATGTAAAAATAAGTGAAGTCTTTGATTTATTTAAAGAGAAGAGTCTTTTGGTTTTTTTCACAATTCATCATTATTCCATTATTAACATAACCTTAAGGCAGTTGGTTTTAATTTATGTCATTGTGCAATTTCTGTGGAACTGTGGATTGTTTTGTTTTGTTGGGGTTTTTTGGTAAATAAGTATCCCCTAAATAAGGACTTTTAGCTAATTGAGTGAAAAGCTGCAGCTGTTGGGCTCATGGCAGACTAAGGCATAGCATAGCGAGGGTCCCCGTCACACACGCAGAGGTTGATCGCTCTTTGCCGTTCTTAGTCTAGAACTGCGGTCGGTGAAGCTTTTGTTAGAGCATCTTCTCTGTAAAGCTCCCAGGCTCTCCTCCGACACAAAGCTTTGACAGTCATCGAGGAGCCTTGGACAACTGCTCAGCCAGCTTCTTGGGGGAAAAGCTAGATGGGTCAGGAGAGAGGAGGCAGCATGACAGACCCTCTCTCACTACTTAAGAAACAGCAATTTCAGATTTGAAGTATCTAACTATCTCGTTCTTATTTTTAGGAAAATATATATGCAGCATTTGTTCTGTATGCTTGTATATATTTGGAAGTTAAAATATGTGTGTGTGCATGCATGAAAGGTTTAATTCCTGTACTAAATATAGACCAGCTGACTTCACGGGTATGTCTTGTACGTTAGCCAACGTGTGTGCCTGGTGTGGAGAGGCTGACATAATCCTGCTTACATACATACCTTCTCCTGTAAACTGTGTTATGCTCTCTCTGGACGCACAAAAATGCACTATATATCTATTGTTTACAGATATGACTTGTACTCTGTGCGCATGTTTATAACATGATGTTTGTTGTTACATTTGTATATATACACCTATACCAATGACAGAAAATGAAAATCTCTGTATCTTCCACCACGACCACATACTAGTATTTAAAGCTTGAAAATTCTGGTTACAGGTTTTTTGTGTTGTTTTGGCAAAAACCCAGAATAGTCCATTTCCTCGTTCCCTTAATTCTCACACTTTGTTTTACCACTCTTTGTAAGGGAAGAAATGGAGGGGCTGGAGTCAGGGGAGAAGAGGGTGTTGCAGGCAGGCAAAGCTGGAGAGAAGAGGCCGCAGCTGGCAGAGGGGCGGGGGTGGCCTTTGGGGCAGGGCAGGCCAAGACCTGTGAGCTACCACCATGATGTGCGTCTCTCCCCGCTCCAGCTGGAACGTCAGCTCTCCCAGAACTCTGCAACCCATGCGTGCAAAGCTCTTCTTTCTGTGAAGGAGACTCTTGAAAAGTATGGGCCTGGGCTTTTCACTCAGACACTCAAAGCTTCATTTAACTGGAAGGGAATAGATTGGAGTCCTCATTCTAAAAGCCAGGCAGACTTCCTCGTGAGAAGCGAATATTCCACTAAAAATAGAAACCAGCCCACTTTACCACGTTTCCGACATCTCAAGGTTGGATAGTACTCGGAAATGCTGATGAGAAGCTAGCAACCAAGATTTCTCCAAGTCCCCTCCCGCGGCAGCTTCATCCTGCACCCAAAATTGCTGTTCCTGCTAGAGAAATAAAATAACCACAGATCATCTGCGCTGGCAGAACGCATCAACAGAAACTCAACTCAGTACATCTAAAACCTGGCGCCAAACTGAAGAGCAGGGGCCAGGTCATCCTTAATGTATTCCTTGGTGCACCAGGAGGTACCTGTGGTACCGATGTGAGGGAATCAATTGCTGCTAATATCAAGAACTCCTGAATTGGCCAAACAGTTTGAAAATCTGGACCCATGAAGTAACATGTGGTGTGATAAAATTGGAAGCTTACCAAGAATTACCGCTTTATTTTAACATTAGAAGACTCTGGGCAGGTAGAAATCATGCTGAAATAGCTGTTCATGGGCTTTCACACCCATGCCTTGTTGTTCCTTAAGCAGCCTTTAAGCCTTTGATATGCTGCAAAGTACACGCTGGTTTCTCTGCAAAGTCATGAAGTGTCGCTGTCACATCTGCTGACACCGGTGTCTGGTACCACTCTCCACGGGAAGGCGTTCGCAGTGAATCCCATGGAAAGCAACAGCGGATGGAGAGCAGATCCGCCATGGTTCTTCTGCTTGCCGTCCTCCCTGTGATTCGAAGGGGATGAGGGGCCTTCCTAAGTCCAGCTGTGAGTTCGAGGAGGGTATCAGGTGCCGCTTGGCAAGGGAACACACAGAATAGTTCAGAGAGGGATCCCATAAAATTGTTGTGGTTGAGGCACATGTCCTCATCTCTCTGGTTTGGAACCCACATGGGAAACATTACTTTTTGTTGTTGTTTCTACAAGTCTTAATAGCAGTGCGTTTCTTGCTAGCATCCAGCATTTGCACCTCATTTGAGTGATCTGTGTGTGTTGTTGTTTCTCCTAATTACAAAAAAACAGAAAACTTGTGCTTCTGTCTTAGTACTTAGAGCTCTTATGCCTGCATCGTAAAGGCCCTTAGATCTCCGGGGCTGCTTGGCCACTGCTCAAGTATCTTGAAAGGAAAGCCAAGAAGTGCCTTTTCTATCCGCTAAGATAAGCGTGTTCCCAGCTGGCTTCCTCGCTTGAAGGTGGGAGAGGAGAGATGAGTGCTCCTGCCTCCTATGTTGTCAGGCCATCCTCTGGACTCAACTTGGTGTCAGATATCCAAGGCCAGTCTTCAACAGCTGAAGAAGTCAAGTGTTTATAAGATGCTTTCTCTTGTACTGTTATTTTCCCTTTGTTCTAAATGGAATTTCTGCTGTGAAAATTTGTCACTCCAGATCTGGAGTACGCTGTGCATGAGGCTCTGCCTTGCACCGACTTATCTCTTTGTCATGGGAGATGAGGAGAGACATTATCCTTACTGTACCCAAGGTCCACGGCCAGGAGGAGAGCTGTGCCTCAGTGAAGTGCTAATGTGGCACAGTAGCATCCTGCGATGGAAAGGTAAGTCCGGTTAGCACGTTATTGAGAAAGGGGAAATGGAAACATCTAGTTTCTTTTCCTTGTGTCTCAAGATTGTCGTCCCAGGAATTGGATTTGAGAAGCTCTCTGCCGGGTTGAGGGTGGGGACGTGTTTGCTGGCAGCAGGTTTCGTTCCCTGATCAGTGTCGCCTTTCCACTTCACTACTGGGCTAATTGAGACTTGCTGGCAAGGATTTGAGCGATGTGCTCTTAAACGGCCTGTTGAGAACCCTAAAATGCTCCGGTCAGTTGGCCTCCAATTGGAGGCCAGGTCAGATTTCGTCCTTCCTTTACACAGAAAACACTTCCCAGGTCCCTGTGGTGTGCCAGGCCCTGGCAGAGGTTGCAGGTTTGCTTGAGATGAGATATTCTTTCACTGGGTGTGGGGAAAATAGTCTGGGCTACAGTGAATTGCATGTTCCCAGAGCCCTGCCGACTGGTCCCCAGTTCCTCCAGCGCCCCTGATACTTGGAATGCATGTCAGTTGCTCTTGCTGTTTATAAGTTATGCATGGATGTTTGTACTCTAAGAGCTTTACGTGGTGAGAGTAAGGGACTGAGTCTTTCCTTTTCCACGACTGAGTGTGTCCTTCAGGGGCCACCAGAGAACTCCTAAGTTCACAAACTCAGAGTATTTTCCCCCTTTCCTCCTTGATTAATAACTTACACAAACTTATCTCCAAAGTCGTGAATTAAATGTTCTAGATGATTCCGTACGCCGTGGGCCCTGCCTCTCCTCTCCTCCCTCGTTCTCAGCCTCTTGATTCTTTCTAAGGTCAAGACTAGGTTGAACTTCTTTCTTGTGAAGGAGCAGGCTGTAAACTTTCCAGCCCTGAGCACTTGCTTATTTTGGTTTTAAGGGACCTCAGCTCAGGGGCTCCGATTACAGAGTAAAGTGAGGAGAAGTGGGCTGGAGCCTGCCCTCCCGTTGTTTCTTTTGTTATGATCTGTTGTCAGGGGTGGAGGCAGGTGAAAACCAGGGCAAGAGCCCGTTGAGCCCTGGAGTTGATAACCAGGCCTTCCAGAGGCTGGGGTGTGCGTTTCCATGACTCCCCGGGAATACCTGATACAGACGGCTGCCCAAACCAGACCCGTCCCGACCTTTCAAGCCAGCCCGCGATTTGCTCCCAGAGAAGCTGCCGCTCCCGGCGTCTCCCGGCTCGGCCTCCTCCGGTTCTCTGGCACGTCTCTGGCACGTCGGCACTTGCCTCCTGCTGTTTCCATCGCGCTCCTCCCCAGCTCAGCCACAGGGGCCCCACCTCTCACAGGATCGGGGTATGTGGCCCCGGAGCCCAGACAGCCTCGCGCATAAATCTTCCTGGTCCACCTGCAGTTCGTCTGTCAGCAGCTGCCCCGCTTCTCTGCTGGACGGGGCATTCCCACACATCCGTCAGACAACCTGAAGCCTCCGCGGGCCGCAGGAAATACCGACGGGCCCCATTCCATCTCCAGGTCTTCATCTGCCTGCCATGCCCAGGCTCTGGTCTCCTGAGTGGGTTCGTGAAACCTAAACTGGTGGTGGATGAGCAGCCACGTTGCAACTATGGCCAACTGCCGACAGGGTCCCTTTTCTGAACTGGTGTTCTTTTTTCTAGCAAGACTGACTCCAGAGCAGCTGACATCACCCAGGAGGCGCGTCAAGATAGGGAACTAGAAAGGCCCAGAGGTGTGGATTGCCTTGAACCAGATATGAGCAATATTTGTAGGTTATCTGTCCTTTCCTAAGGAAGCCGATTTTTCCAGTGTGGCAGAGAATGGTATATTGCATGAGGGCGAGCGAACCCTTTTAAGTCCCTCCTAGATCCCGGGCGGTGTTAAATGAAAATGTGGAGTGTAGTGTGGTTTAAGAGCATGGATTTGACCTAACCTCTTTATTAGCTTGAGTGACCTCGGGCAAGTTGATCTATTGGAACCACCCAGAAAAACAACCTACAGCGATTGCCGAGAGTTGCTGTGAGGACTGAGCACTGTCATAGTGCCCGGCGCACAGTGGGAAGTCCACAAACGCTAGTTACTGTGACGTTGTTGATTTCTTGGGGAAAATGGAGTCCCTGACTGAGGAAAGGTCAGTCACATGAGGCAGGACAGGAGTGGCACAGACGGTGAGTCCCGGCAGTTTAGGAAGAGCCGGGTCTCAGAAGGCTTCGGAGAGGCAAAAAAATTGGACGGGGACTGGAAGAATGAGTAGGATGTAGGTCATTTCATCTGGGAGGGTTCCCATTTTCCTGCAATTTGGGGAGCTTGTAGCAGAATGAGAATGGAGCTGGGGATCGGAGAAAGGGTCTCTCTGCTGTCTACACTCACTCGGCGTCGGCTTGGGCACACACCTGAGCCTTGAGTTCCTGGTTGTAAAAAGGGGACAGGGAACACGTGCTCTGCCTAGCTCCCAGGGTTGTGGAAGGTACATGAGACAGTCATGAAAAATGCTTTGAAAATGGTAAAATGCATCACAAGACTAAAGTCACTATTAGATGCTTAACGTTAGAAAGAGAATCCTAGAAGAATGCCAAGCCACTTGAGACTGCGGTCATGCAGGCTGCACGACCCAGGGCTTGGGAAGAGGCATGGACAGCCCTAGGAAGGGCATTGCTCAGTGCTAACACATCGGTCCTGACTCCTCTCCAATTGCCGAGAACGTGTTCCTGGGGTCTCCCTTCAGAGTACTCGAGTGAGCACGTCAGGTCCTCCAGACAGTAACAACGACGGCCATAACAGTAAGTAGCAATAACGACAATGGTCAAACAACAGCCACAACCATTTATTTGGCGCCTACAATATGTTGGACACTGCTGAATACTTTACAAACTTTATTCCTCTTAGTTCTCAAACAACATCACAAAGCAGCTATTACTATTCCCAGTTTAGAGGTTTTTAAGTTGAGGTTTAGAGAAATAATTGCCTGGTTCCCTAGTAAGTGACAGAGTTGGATTTAACTCGCATTTATTTGACTCCAAAGCTCAAGCCCTTTGTGCCATTTTGCTGTTAATCTAAGAAAGAAATGTTTTTCCCCCCAGACCCTGTGCCAGGTTTCCTATGGAGGATTAAGCGTGCGGATGAGTTAAATGAATAAAATGGTTAATGTTCAGAGTCCCTCTCTCTTTACCTATAGCTCCATTATTGGAAAACACCCCACGTTATTTCCTCCCACCACCCCTGCACTTTCTAGTCCAGAGACGGGGGTACCACAATGAGACTGATCCCTCGTACTTATTCTGGGCTTTGTATGTTCATTGTTTCATTTGAACGTCACAATAAGCCCATGAAGGGGTATTATCTGTTTTACTCATGAGGAAGCCAAGGCTAAGGGAAGTCGAAGAACTTGCCCAAATTCCCAGCTAGTAATTGGGAGAGCTGTCTGGAATATTACAATTATCACTAACAAAATAATTGCAAGGGTAGAGCATTTCTTACATCCTCTGTACAGTGGGCAACATGGAACAATGAGAATGTTTTCCGCTTGAACGTTGGAATGCAGTGGTGTGATGTTCAGAGAGGTTAAATACCTGTGCTTGCAGATACTTACAATTATTTCTATGTCACATACATTTAAATAATAAAGTCCCGAAACTTGCTGGAAAATGAAAGGTTTATTCCTGACTAATAAGGCTGGAATCGAAGGAATAGGGGTCAGCTATTAAATACTTATCACGGCACAAAGGTTTTTGAATGTCAAATGTTAAACTCTTCCACATTCCATAGGAATTTTGCTCTGCATCTTCAGCCCCCCAGGGTCCCTTTCCTGTCTGTGCCTGTCAGTTCATTGTTCTGTGTTTTCAATAAAGCTTTCCCTACCGGGCGGCACTCCCCCCCCCCCCCCCCCTGCCTTTTAGAAAGGAGACATAAATAAAGCGTGTAGCCGGCCTCCTCCGCATTTTTGTTTTCTGTCACCTTTCCCTTACCGTGTGCCCACCCCACCCCCAGTCTTCAGAAGTATAAAGCGAAGGTAAAAAGAGCTTTAAAAAGAAGGGCTCGGGGTAGTATGCAAATGAAGAAATGTCTATGGGAAAATTAAGGGAGGGGGAATTCCGCAAGAAAGAAATTCATTGATGTTGTGATGAAACGTTGTCACTGGAGATGATGACAAATTAGAATCCGTTCCCATGGGGACCGGCGCACTACCTACTGATCCGTTGACCCATGGCTGGATGTTGGCCCCCCGAAGAAGTGACCCAAAAGATGACAAGATGGTTTTAGTCCTGTTGTCTCATCAGCATTCAGGAACCCCTTAGGGGATGAAGGGAAGAGGATAAAGAAGGATAAAAGATGAAAGCTGAGCTGTGAGAAGAAAAATGTTTTTAATTACACTGAAGAGGATTGTGGGTCCACCTGTAGCTTGTTGTTGAGAGTGTCCTTTGTTTTCTCCTGTCTGCAGGGACCATAGCAGGATGCAGACCCAGAATCGCTCTGGCCTCTCGGAAGGTGCCACACTGCTAGCTGGTCTTCTTCAGTTTAATGGGCACATTCAGGATTTAATCTCTCTGTGGGCTGTCTTTACTCCAGTAGATTCTGCTATGCTTGCCAGGCAACCTGGATTTGGCTGGCATGCTACAAGAGATTGCTTTTAGGGAGAGAAAAAAAATACCGCCTCGTGGAGCAGGAGTTGAGGTTTCCATAGTGAGCTTCCATCACATGCCTCGTCAGAGGGCACAGGGAGGTCATCTTGGCAGTGGGGTCAGAGGAGGCCAGAGCACCCCCTGGAGTCGAGAGACCCTTCAGCTCCATATGCCTCAGTTTCTTCACTTTTAAAATGGGAGTGACGGTTGCATCTTACTACCCTATGATGACAGATAACTTAATTCAGAAGAAAATAATAAATTCCGAAATTTCTTTGCCAAAGGAAAGGACGGGTACATACACTCTGTTCTCTTTGCAGGTTACGAACAAACTAACACACACCTGGAATAATTAGAACAATTTAAGTTAGTTTGATGTAATCTATACCACAGTAGTCAGGTCATACTAGGTAGGCATTGTTTTTGGAGAATACATTATTTCACATTTGGCCCTTTGCCTTTTTTATGTTGGTGGTAGAATTCAGCAATTCTAAAGTTCCTCAAAGTCTTGATTTTCATGGGAACTATAAAGAATTCTAAATGAAATATTAATTTTTAAAAATGTTGTTATAAAGTTATGAGACTATTATGGCTTATGATCTTCTGCCAAGAATTTCACAGCATTTGTTCAAATGGATTTGAACCGAAATGACGGGGGCAGGGGACGCGGGGGTGGGGGTGGGGTGGAATTGGTCTCTGAATTCGAGCGAGAAGAAGATCAACAGTCTAGGCTCTGAAGTCAGAACGCTCCCGGCTTTGGATCCCACCTCTGCTCCTTACCAGCTTTGTGAGCTTGAGGAAGTTGTTTAACCTTCACCGTCTGCTTCTGGTGGGAAAATGGAGATGTGTACCTTATAGGGTTCTTGGAAGGGTTAAACTGATGTTTGCTTGTGAGGTGCTTATAACAGTGCCCCACACATAGGCAGCACTAAACCAAAGTTGGCAATTATTATTGTTATAGTTTTACAGAAGGCAGGATGGGTGCTACAACCTGGACTGAGGGGTTTCTGGCTGAGAGCTGTGAATCCAAGTGGAGGGAGCTTGTGTTTGTTAATCGTGTGTCTGGGCTCTGTGTATGAGTTACTGCCTCCACTGATGAAGAATGCAGCTTAGGGTCCCCCCTAACCAGAGGCCAAAGGCAGGCATTCCTGCCACCCCCAAACCCACTACTTCTGACAGGGCCCCTCACCCATCAGTCAGCCAGTCCCCCCCACCAGCACCCCCCAACCACCCCAAGGAACACTTGGTCCCATGGCCAGCCCAGTAGTGAGGAGCTCTGTGCCTTGGCCGATTACATTAACAGGAGCTCCATTCCCCAGATTGTGCGATTTGTCATTTTTCTTTTTTGCTGAGGAAGATCCTCCCTGAGCTAACATCTGTGCTAGTCTTCCTCTATTTTATAGAGCAGGGCTGACGAGTGGTATAGGTCTGAACCCGGGCTGCCAAAATGGAGTGCGCCGAACTTAACCACTAGGCCACAGGACCGGCCCCTTTTTCGAAATTTTATTTCAAGCCCCCATTGCAGCTTTGTCGGGGGCACTGCAGCTGAGCAGGTGGATACGTAGCTTTATGGACAGTTCCAAGTGTGAATGAGTGATGACGGGGTTATTCACCTACTTCGTGGCTTTGAGCCACAAAATGACCTCATTGCTGTAAAATGACAATACCTACATTGTAGGGTCCTTGTGCCTGGTGAATGTAAGTACCACCCTACGTGGCTTTTATCATCTTCTGAAGAGCCCTGGAGTCTCTCTGCAGCAGGTTTAGCCTGCAGGCTGGAGTCTGGATAATTCTGATGATGTAGGCTCCATGCCTGCATCTGAGCAGCCTTGTTTAGCTTCGCTCCAATACGTTGATCTCAGGATGGAATCCAGCCTGTCCTGGGCGTTCCAGTTACTTGTTACTGCACAACACCCACCCCAAACTTAGTGGCATAAATAACTATCTCTTTGTGCTTAGGGTCCTGTGGGTCAGGAATGCCGGCCGGGCCCAGCAGGGACGGCTTATCTCTGCTCCATGATGTCTGGGGCTTCACTGGGGGAGACTGTAGGCTGGAATGATCTGGAGGCTTCTTGACTCATATCCGGGGCCTGGGCTGGGATGACTTGAAGACTTGCTCCACTGGAGCTGCCAACCAAGTGCTTGATTGTGGCCTCTCCACGTGTCTTGGACGTCTTACAGCCTGGTAGCTGAGAACGTTCCAAGGAGAGACAGGCGGAAGCTGCACGGCCCTTTGTGACCTAGCCTTAGGAGTGACATGGTGTCACTTTCTCTGTATCCTACGGGGTAGAAGCCATCGTAAGCCTACCCAGGGTCAAACAGTGGGAGCAGAGGGAATATAGACCCCACTTCTCACTGGAGATAAGTGTTAAAGAATTGCAGCAAATTTTTATAAAACTACTAGGATTATGGCTGTATCTTGGGCCGTATTAGGGCTTCTGGCTTCTACCCATCGCGAAGCAGGCCACGCGGTCTCTATTGCAACTACTTAACTCTGCCATCATGTGATGACAGCAGCCATGAACGATACGTAAACTAGTGACTGTGTCTCAATAAAACTTAAGAACACTGGGATTTGAGTAAAAGACACTTAAAAATATGAGTCGTTCTCAGCTCACGCAAAATCAGGCAGTTAGAGTATCATAACTAACGAGGACTCGTGTTTTCTAAGTTAGAATTCTCCAAATGTGTGGAAGCAGAGCTTTAGGATTTCCCAGGCATTTGTGTGTGTGAGAGAGAAGGGCAGAAGCGACTGCAGATGCTGTTTTCATTTTAGAAGTGAATTTGTGAAGATATTATTTGGCATTTCAGTCATTTCAGGTGCGCCTCATCTTTACCCTGCGACAGCACATTTCTTCCAAGGGCAATGCAGTACTAGACTGCTGATGCTTGTAGGTGGGCGATTAATGATATTTATTTTATTTCCGAACCTAAAGAGGAAAGGCAGAACTTGGTCTTGATGGAGTTTCTAGAAATACATATTGATGTATATTTTTTAAATAAGCATTACATGTTTTTGAAGAGTTTATTGATCCTGAGACCAAAAGACAAGGTTGATGACTCTCGGGGTGAATTCTTTTTTGACCTGTATTAATTCATTAAATGTTTTTTGTCTGCGTACAATGCCAGGCAGCGTGCTGAAGACCCAGAGATGAACAAAAACATACATAGTCCCTGCCCGTACAGAGCATGCAGTCGAGTGGGGCAACCCGACCTTAAACAGGTAGTGGCATTAAAGCGTAGTGTGTGTTATGACGGGGGGAGCAGGGCACCGTAAGAATCCACGTGAGGTTTTCAAACTGGATGTGTCACTCTCCCATCCTCAACTGCCCACTGATGTGAGAGTCCGGGGAGAAAGGATTGTTTTATGAGTGCAAACTGCGGTTTAAGAAGCACTTCAGCCCATCTACTGACAATGAGGGAATAGTCCTGTCTCTGTATTTGGCCTACGTTTTAGACAACTATAGGCATGTATGATGGCCTGTTCACATTACTTTGGAAAAGGAAAAACAACAACATAGAAATTTGTAAATATTGAAATTTGTTAGGTTTTTATCCTCCTTAAGGTACCATTTTGGATGGGTGGAAAACTAAGCTAGAAGAACAGTTTGGGATCTATTGGCTGACTTACAGATCGGGATTATTATCTTTGATTTTTCTCTACGTTAGGTTTTCCCAGATGGAACACTGCAGTCATGAGCTGTTTTGGTCAATGACGGACTACATATACAAGTGTGATCCCATAAGATTAGTACCATGTAGCCTAGGTGTGTAGTAGGCTGTAGCATCTAGGTTTGTGTAACTACACCCTATGATGTTCGCACAATGATGAAATCAGCTAACGTCGCGCTTCTCAGAATGTGTCCCCGTTATCAACGACGCAAGACTATATTGACATTTTGGGCCGTATAATTCTTGGTTATGTGGAGCTGTCCTGTGTGTTGTAGGATATTTAGGAGCATCCTGGCCTCCACCTGCCAGATGCCCATTGCTCTCTCCATCAAGTTGTAGCAACCAAAATTGTCTCCAAACTGCCAAATGTCCTCTGCGGGGCAAAATCACCAGTGGTCTAAATAAACAGGGGAGATTAAACTGTGTGTATATTTTATTTCAATGACCTCAATGAGAAAAATGTACGTTTCTTTAAATAGTAAGAACTCTAGTTCAGGAAGCACAATTGCAGGTGATCTGCTTGAATTTTGAGACACACAATTTCTCCTTTGAAAATGCTGAAAGGGAGCTGGCGTAGTGGTTAAGTTTGCGCGCTCTGCTTCTGCAGCCTGGGGTTCATGGGTTCAGATCCTGGGCGTGGACTGACATACTGCTCATCAAGATATGCTGTGGTGGCATACCATGTACAAAATAGAGGAGGATTGGCACAGATGTTAGCTCAGTGACAGTCTTCCTCAGGCAAAAAGAGGAAGATTGGCAACAGGTGTTAGCTCGGGGCCAATCTTCCTCACCAAAAAAAAAACGCTAAGGTGAATTTGGACAACCCATTATCAAATGAAACATTCTCATACTCTTCTGTTATGTCCAGGAATTTTTCTGAACTGTATAGTCTGTGCAATATTTAGTAAGACTGAGAACCTCAGTTATTTAATTGAAACTCTGAAAGCTGCAGAATATCATTAGAGCAAAATTAAATTTTCAAGTTGTCTCGAAAGTAACAAATGAAGATATTCTGATTTGGCTGCATGTTCTCAGGCCGTAAGCTGTTGGATTGTGTGGGACGCGTGGCCCAAAGGAGATGATTAGTTCTCCTCTCGTGTGCTGGTAACTAATAGGTCTGCAAAACCAATTAGCGGTAATTCTATCAGTCGTTTCATTTGGGTAACATTTTGTTTAAGGGGAAGAAAAACAACACTGTTTTCCTTGGAGATCTGTAATTAAGCTGTGATATTTGATGGGAACAATGGAGGAAAAACAGTATGCTTATCAATTTGCTTTTGTTATTCCCACATGAAAGTAAATTATGATGAAGTGTTCTGTTCACAGCACTTAAGGAAGACATTTGTCCATCTTAAAGGGGTAACAGACCAAACACAAGTATATGTCTAACTATGCGCTTTATTTTATATGGATGTCTGCATTGCAGAACCCCAGGAAACTGCCATTTACGTGGAAGACTGAATGGTGCCCCCTGGAGTTGTGGAGCAGGAAACACTGAATGTCATTTCCCCTCTATATATCTTTCCCCTGAAAACCTGTGTGACTCCAGGACCATGAATAGTGGGGATTTCCCCCCAGTCACTGTTGCTGCTCTGTAACATGCCGACAATGCTATCAGTAGACTTCGTTTTCCTTTATCCAGCAAGTCATTTTATGGATCAGTATTGTTCTTTCTGAAGTTGAACACATGAGAAGTTCTCAATGCATCATCATCTATTAAAAGACAGAAGATGCTATTTTTTTTTTGTCATCTGAGCATTCTTCTGTGACTTCTGGGCATTTTACAATTTTGATCTCAATTTACACAGTGGAATGAGTCTTGGGGGTGCGTTACTGTTTTACTTGAAGTTTAATACATGCAGTTTGTGACACAAATTAATTAGCTTATTAGAAAAAGTACAATGGGTTATTGTCTTGGGCTTTCGATTTATTTTGCTCACTGTCGTCCCACAGCTAGCCAAAAAAATCAGAGAGAAGTTCAACCGGTACTTGGATGTGGTCAACCGGAACAAGCAAGTTGTAGAAGCGTCGTATACGGCTCACCTGACCTCTCCCCTCACTGCAATTCAGGACTGCTGCACCATCCCACCTTCCATGATGGAGTAAGACTTTACGATTTCGTTATTGTTCTTTAAACCAGAAATTGAATTGCTTTCCATTCATACTCAAAATACCTGTGTTTACAAAGTGTATAGCATTCCTATCTTAAATAAGCCCTTTATCATTACGTAGACAAGTAATTTTTAAAGAAGTCTGACTCTATATTCTATATCCAAAAGATTCCTGAACCCTCCCTGCTCACCTTTTTGTCATTGCTACAGTTCAGGTTCAGAAGCATCAAATAGCGTTGGAGTACAGAGTTGACCAAGTCCAGAAAATTGCAAAGGTGTGTGAGCTAATAAGTCATGAAAAAGATAGTCTCGCTGGTTCTGGTACTTTGCTTAATTTACAGAAGTGCTTCTTGTCTTCGATAAGAGTAGCAGAAATTCCCACTTCTTACTTTTGTGTGGATAGCTATTTTTAAAACTGCCAAGGGAAACGTGTCTTCAGATGTTATTGAAACAGAATTAGTATCTATTTAATTGAGGATATCTTATTTACTGGCTTATGATGTTTACAGTTGGAGGGGTGTGGGGTCGTCCGATGTTGGAAACTGTCGTGGGAAGAACGCTTATCTAGAAGAACAGAGAACTTAAGTTTGATTTGGCCTCTTATTAGCCGTGTGACCTTAATCACGTTAGTTCATATTTTTATGCATCGTTTTTTATCAGTAGATAATCTCTATTACACCAATTTTCTAAGACTATTTAAAATGAGTAAAAGATGTTAACATACTTTAAAAATTATGGGTGTAAAGGTAACCATAACCAGTATGTATTACTCCTTTTGCACAGTAAGTGCCCTTGAAGCTATGCAAGGAAGGGACACAACAGTTTTTTGGTGGTTAAATGATGCTTCGCTTCCACAAGCAAGTTTTTACTTACTGTAGTTTCTTGGTGAGCTCTGTAGGTAGCAGGGCATCCCTCAGTCATTTTATTTCCCCATCTGTGTGATGTTAAGATGAGCCTTCTCTCTGGCTTACTCTCTCTGCGACCTAAAGAAGCTCGTGCTGGTCATTTACTAAACTAAATGGAAAGTGCACACAATTTGGAATGAGACTGTCTGGATAGGAATCCTACCTCCACCACTTAACACTCGATAGGCTGGGATATTTGGTGTCTTTGAGCCACCCTGTCTTCATCTCCAGAGGGGGAACAATGACAAATACTTCATAGGGTGCTGTGAGCATTCAGGGAAGTCAAATGTGAAATTACCTTGTAAGCTGTGATATTCTGAACAAATAATTAGCCATAATATTTATATACTTCCATATCATAGTGAACAGTTCATTTTTTATTAGGTTTCATCAAAGCGGGTGTCCTGTAGTTGGCATCAGTAACATTTTAGTAAACTTATCTCTTATCTAAAAATAAATTGTGGCAGCCGGCCCTGTGGCTGAGTGGTTAAAGTTCTGTGTGCTCCGCTTCAGTGGCCCGGGTTCACGGGTTCGAATCCCAGGCGCAGACCTACCCCACTCAGCAGCCATGCTGTGGAGGCGTCCCACATGGAAAAAGTGGAGGAAGACTGCCACAGATGTTAGCTCAGGGCGAATCTTCCTCACCAAGAAATAAATAAACTAATTAAATAAAAATAAATTGAGGGTCTAGTTGGGTTTTGAACCAAAGGAAACATCATTTTTAGGACAGAGAAAAGAGGTAGTATAATAAGGGAGAAGTCCTTGGGGCTAGAATTATGCTTGAAACAGTTGTTCTCAACCAGGGGTGATCCCTCTAGCCGCCACCCCGGGACACCTGGCACTGTCTGGGAACATTTTCAGTTGTCACACTTGCAAGGTGGGGACAGTTGCCACTGGCACATAGTGAGTAGAGGCTGGCGATGCTGGTACGTGTCCACAGGACAGCCCCTCGGAACCAAGACTTGTCTGGCTCCAAGGGTCAGTAGTACAGAGGTTGAAAAACCCTGGCTTAGAAGATCTGAGCTCTTCATAAATTCCTAAGTGAAACTAATGCTCTAGATGAAACCAAAAGCTTTCGTTAACTGGCATTTACTAATAAATTTACCCCCTCTGTCTCCTTACCATTACTTGTCCACCTGGTGAATTTCTATTAATGTTACAAGAAGTAACTCAACGATTTGCCTCTCTCCATAGCTTCCTAAACTTTTTTTTTTTCATCTCCTTGTTTCCTTTTGCCCCTGGAAGAGTTCATTGCTCTCTCCTTTTTGTTCCCATAGTAAGTTTCATTCACCCCTGTTAGAGAGGACTTCATGTAGCCACGTTGTTACTGCTGGCTCTGTCTCCCTTGCTGTTCTAGGCAGGGATTACACCTCATCCATTTTTACCCCAGCACCTGGCAATTGTGTTTAATTATCATTTGTTGTCATCTTAATTGATTTAATATGGGGATGTCTATTCTCAAGAAATTTAAAAATTATTGGGTGGAGGGCAAATATTGAGCATAACTAATAGGGCAGAGTGGGCCACAGCAGAGAGGTGCCGTGGTTCCTTGAAGCAGAGAAACATGCCGAGTGGATGGCATCACAAAAGAGTCTATGAACTTTAGAAGTCTGCATCTTATTTCATCTGGTCGTTTGGAGGAATATGACAAATAATCAGACATTTTTCTGAGGATGAACATGTAAAGAAACTCATTGTGGTATCATTTAGAATAGGAAATATTGTAACTACCATAAATTTCTAACAGTGGGGTATTAGTTAAGGACATTGCATCATATCCATAAAGGTGAGATGATAGGATGTAGCCGTGCTGTAGAAGAGTATTTGCTGATCTTGTGAAAACGGCTGGACAGACATGCACACGCGCACACATTAAAGTGGGGGAGGACTTACACCAAATGTTGCATAAAGGCTGGTTTCCATTTTGAATATACTGAGATAAGGGTTGAGGGCTGAGATGCAGGCCATCTAGATTTTTGGCAAAACCCAGTGGTCTACCTTTTGGTGAATATAATAAAACATAAAATGTAGTTTCCGCCCTCCAGGAATTTCTCCTTTAGTTCAGTTTAACATCAGGAGACGATCGGAATCCTAGAAGGATGCATGCTGAGGAAGCAGGTCAGTGTGAGAGGCCTGTCCTCCTTCAGAGGGTGCATTTCTTCATCGAATGTTGAGGGGAGACTACGGACCTGCGATGCAGTCTTCCGTCCTCGCTCGGAGCAGCTGATAGACCCGAGAACTGCCGTTTGGGGTGAATCTTGTAAAACCAGGGCAGTTCTGACTATAAAGCTGAGTAATCACTACAGAAGAGCAAAAGACCGGATTCCTTCTGGTGGCTAATTACAGAGATACCTGATTACAGCTGTTGGCAGCGGGAGGTGGCAAGTGACATCTGCCTCTCTTAGACTGAGTGCTCTTGGCATTGAATTGAGCTCGCTTTCCAGGGATATGTGTGTAAGAATTTTTGGAGTGAACTCTGAGCTGATGCTTTTGCAACCATTGACTGCACATGAGCCCTTGCTAAAATTACGAGACACTCTCATAATTTTATGTGAAGATTCAAAGCTGGAAAGAGTAATAGTAAGTTATTGGAGTGAAGCAGGGTACGAATCCTCAGCTGCCTTTGCTCTACCCTCAGAACGCTTTTATCTGCCTTTCCCCACTGTTGTGGTATCCTACTGAGCACATTTTCAGTTCACTCTCTTCTCTCTTCCAGTCCCTCTGAAAATGTCTACATTCTGAGTCTCGGGGAGTTCGTGTTGGAGTGACGTGCAGCAAGGAAGAACTCCCAGTCTTGGGAAGCAGTTTAATGACATGACTAAAACAATTTTTTTTTCGTGGTTGGCAGATTTGAATTTGAATCATACCTGTTTCCCTCGTAAGTTGACCTTGGGAAGTCACTTAATTCTGAGCCTCAGTTTCCTCATCAGTGAGTTGAAAATAATGATAGTACCTACCTCACGGGGTCATGTAGGGAGATGTTTTTAGGTCATAAACTCTTTTATTCGATAATTATGGATTTCAATATTATCCTCCACGTCAAGGGACACTGTTTTTTCTCTTAAGGCAATAACATAAAGTGACCTAAATTAAAAAGTTAATTAATTTAGGGGCCAGCCCAGTGGCACAGCAGTTAAGTTCACACATTCTGCTTTGGTGGCCCGGAGTTCACCAGTTCAGATCCTGGGTGTGGACCTACGCACCAGTTTGTCAAGCCATGCTGTGGCAGGCGTCCCACATATAAGATAGAGGAAAATGGGCATGGATGTTAGCTCAGGGCCAGTCTTCCTCAGCAAAAAGAGGAGGATTGGTGGCAGATGTTAGCTCAGGGCTAATCTTCCTCAAAAGAAGAAAAAAAAGTGAATTAATTTAAATAAAAATATTAAGTGAATGTGACCAGTGTTTTGAAGGTGACAGATATGGTAATGACTGAAGTTTATGAATAATGGACTCAAGATTGTTGCTAAAGTCCTTCCAAACTGTAAGATTTTGCAGTTCTGTAAAGCAGATTCTTCATGCCCATGGACTATGTCTGGCCATGGGCGTGTATTAATACTGTCATCGTTATAAACATAAGCCATTGGAGCTGAGATAAGGGATGACAAGTCCTAGATCTGGATTTTGTCCATTCTTAAATATCTGGGCCCTGTAAACATTTTTTAAACCTCAGCATTGGCCCGATGGCACTCTACCTATTTGTGCCTGCGGACGATTGACCTTGCTGCTTCTCCCATGGTGTTAAAGATGAAATAGTCCTCGAACAATATTTTTATAACGAATTTTAACCAGTGGCTAATTTTTGCTTTTTGTTTTAGGCCTAGAATTTCGTTTCTACTGATTTATATAATCCATATTTGATTTTTCTCGCTAAGGCTCTATAATGAATACTTTAAAAAACTAAAATAAAAGGCCCAGTTCTCAAAAGAGGGGCATTAAAGTGTTCAATTACAGAAGATTCTGCAGAACACACCCTGAAGGTTACACTATGATGACAACAGAGGGAACCTGCAAAGCAGCAGGAAATAGAGTTTTCAGATGATTTTGATACTTTCCTTCTCAGACCAGTCAGTTCCTAAAATTCTTACT